TCGCTCATCATGCTGGGGCTGTACTTCGAGCGGCGGCGGCCTCTGGCCAACGGGCTGGCGGCGGCGGGCAGCCCGGTGTTCCTGTCTGCATTGTCGCCGCTCGGCCAGCTGCTGCTCGAGCTCTTCGGCTGGCGCGGCGGCTTCCTGCTGTTCGGCGGCCTCCTGCTGCACTGCTGCGCCTGCGGAGCAGTCATGCGGCCCCCGCCCGGGCCCGGGCCCCRGCCCCGGCCACGTGCGGACCGCGAGGAGGACTGCGCGGGGGACGCCCCCAGAGAGGCGGAGGCGGAGGCGGATGCCGAGGGCACGAGGCTGCGGTTGCGCGAGGCGCCCCCTGGCGGCCGGGCCCGCCGGCGCCTGCTGGACGTGGCCGTCTGCACCGATCGTGCCTTCATCGTGTACGTGGTCACCAAGTTCCTGATGGCGCTCGGGCTCTTCGTGCCTGCCATTCTGCTGGTGAACTACGCTAAGGACGCGGGTGTGCCTGACACCGARGCCGCTTTCCTGCTGTCCATTGTGGGCTTTGTGGACATTGTGGCGCGGCCAGCGTGCGGAGCCCTCGCGGGTCTGGCGCGCCTGAGACCACACGTCCCCTACCTCTTCAGTCTGGCCCTACTGGCCAACGGGATTACCGATCTGAGCAGTGCGCGCGCGCGCTCCTACGGCACCCTTGTCGCCTTCTGCATTGCCTTTGGCCTCTCCTATGGCATGGTGGGTGCGCTGCAGTTCGAGGTGCTTATGGCAGCTGTGGGTGCGCCCCGCTTCCCCAGCGCGCTGGGCCTGGTGCTGCTCGTGGAGGCCGTGGCTGTGCTCATCGGACCGCCTTCTGCAGGTGCCCCCCGCAGGAGGAGGGGATGGCAAGGCTTAGTGCCACTTAGTCCCTGGGAAGCTCTCTCCCTGTCCCAAATGGAACTTTGGGGATGAGGGGAAGGGACCAATGACAGAGGCAGCTGGTGGGTGGACTCCCCTTGTGGCCAACCCCTCCCCCAAGCAGGAACCAGCTGTGAGTGGAGAAGGAAAAGCCAGGGAGGAGCCAGGAAGAAGCCAACTTGATAAGGCCCCCCAGCCACCGCAAGCAGGGGTGCAAAGGCTCGGGAAGCGAGGGTGCTTATTCTCATTTTGCAGATGGGAAAACTGAGGCACTGAGGCACTGAGGGCCAGGACAAGTTGCAGTCCCAGAGTTAGAGCCATAAGCTGTCCATGCTCACTGTCCACCCCTTGAAAACAGTGTCTGAATGGCTTAGTTCCTGGGCCTGTAAGGGGGACAGCTACAATGTCTTTGGGAACCAGTCTCAGGGACAGTGTGAGGGTTCTTAGAGGGCAGCCGGCAGGAGGAGAGGCACCTGCGCCTTCCACTGTGCAGGCTGCTTGCAGGGCGATCTCCGTCCATCACCTGCCTTGGGCAGTCACCATGATGATGGCCAGGGGTGGTGTCCTGTAGAGCCCCCTGGGGTGGGCACAGCATGAGCAGGTGCAGGGTTTGCCTTGGACCTTAGGAGTGAGGCAGGACTAAGACTGGAGAGACGGGAGTCGGGGTCACGTGTCTTCCTGGGTTGCCAGAACAGCAGGAAGGTGAGCAGGATGGGGTAGTGACAGGGATGGAGGAGGCCACTTGTGCTGGGGCCCTGGCTGCAGCTGAGTTGGGGGGAACTGCCCATCTTCCCTCCAGGATGGGACTAGCATTGCCCTCATCAAGCTTTATTAACCTGCCGGACCCAGTGGCACTCGTGGGCATCCTAAATCCAGCCCCCAGAGGCTTAGGAGCCCACCTGCCATTTCTTGTCCCTGGAGTGGTTCTAATGACCAGAGAATGCATCTCTACAGGGCTGAGTTTGGGAGGGGTGGACTGGCTAGCTGGGCAGGGACCAGGATGTTTGGAGGAAGGCTGCTCAGAGGAGCTTAGGTGGGGAAGCTGGCCTGGGGGATACCAGGGAACTTCCTGAAGGTCACAGACTTGATTGGTCAGCCACAAGAATGTTCCAGAGAGAGGGTGGGGCCCCCAGAGGAACCACAATTTAGGGGATAAATACTTGCAGTTAGAAAGATTTTCAGGTGCCAGCCTCTGTGGGGTCCTGCCTGATTCAATCCCCAGTGTGCACACATGAGCGTGCGCACAAGCACACGTGCACACACGCACCAGGGCAGAGGCTGAAGCCTGCTCAGTTGGGTGCTTGAGGCCCAGGGAGGGCAGGAGGCTGGAGGAGAATGAATCATGTCCCTGAAGACCAGGGATGTATGTAGAAAGAGCAAGAGCTGGAGTCCCAGGAGAAAGGGTTAAACCAGGGCCCCACCCCACTGCCACCTGGGCAAGTCACAGGACACTTGTACCTGGACACATGCAGTACCTTCTGTACTCTATAGCTGCCTTACCCCGAGTCCCACATTGCTTAAGAGGCCCAGGGAGAGGGAGTGACATTTCTAAAGTCTCAAGGGGCAGAACCTGTGTGGGGCTTGGTGTCTGTAGGATAGGATAAAGACAGGGGCATGTGACAGTCACCAATGAGCCCTACCACATCAGCAGCGCTGCCTTTCACTGAGGGCTACCCGCCCAGGCCCTGACCTCCTGTCCCCACCCCCAGGCCGCCTGGTGGACGCACTCAAGAACTACGAGATCATCTTCTACCTGGCTGGCTCAGAGGTGGCCCTGGCGGGGGTCTTCATGGCTGTCGCCACCTACTGCTGCCTGCGCCGCTCTCGGGACACCCCACCTGGCCCCACCACTGGTGGGGCCAGTGACACTGAGGACGCTGAGGCGGAGGGGGAACCTGAGTCCCTGCCTTCCGGCACCCAGGAGCCCCGCAGCCTCGAGAGCCTGGAGGTGCCCAGCCCCCGGGCTGGGTCTGTGGGACAGGAGCGGGAGGCAGACCCAGGGCGGAGCAGGGAGTCTGTGTAGCACTGGGCGMGACTCCAGGCTCGGGAACGCGGCTTGACCTCTCAGAGAGCCTGGTCAGGGTGGTCCCTCCAGGGGGCAAGTTTGGGCTGCAGTTGATCCCTTGGGTATCCCAGGAATGTCCTTCCCGCTGCCGGCCTCTGTCCCCTCGCCAGTGAAGCCGTGTGGACTGACAGGAACTCACATTGATAAAGCTCAGCTGAAGCACGAGTTCTGTGCCTGCACCTCCATCCGGGGTCTGGTCACCACCAAGTTGGGGGAAGGGTGGGGGTGCTGAGGGGTCTCCCCAGGGGCCCTGGCTGCTGGAGTTGGGCAGTGCCAAAGACAGATGGAGGGCCAGGGAGACGTCCCAGGCCGGGACCCGGCTGTGGCCGAGCTGTGCACTGAAGCCCATGGGCTGCCGTCTACCTGCCTCTCCCTGTCCAGGTGGCCAGGTGTTGGCAGCACCTTAGGCTTGAGGGTGGGTGTTGCTCACAGATGGGGTCAGAGTATCCTGAGAGAAAGAAGGCCCCAGGGTCAGCGTGGGCATTGGAAGCTGTGCTGCGGCCTGRGCCACCTCCTCACAGAGCTGAGGACAAACAGGAGAGCATGGGGCCCTACTGTCCTCTGCAAGGGGTGCACGTCCCCTCACGTCCTGAAGGCACCCTTCCTCTTGTAAACTCGCCTGTCCCCGAGGCTATTGCTCTGGATGGTGCTCCTGAGGACACCTGTGGCCTGTGGACAACCTGGTCRTCACTGTCCTCGGCATCTATCTGCTTCCTCAGGAGTTTCAGTGCCGTCTTCCCTCCTGCATTTGTCCCATGTGCAGGGACCTTGTCCTGCCAGCACAGCCAGCCATGGTAGCCCTTTCCCACTGTCTGGGTGGACCTTCCTACAGGTGCCTGGCTGACCCATCCTTTATGCCTGTCCTCCCCCAAGGCCACCAGAGCAACACKGCACTTAACGCCCCCGAGGGCTGACCTGGGGTCAAGCACCTTTCCAAATGTCAACTCCTGTGATCCCCAGCCACTCGCTGAGGCCGAGGCCATCAGTGTCCACCACTGCTGCCCACACTTTGCAGTCTGGGAACTGAGGCCCAGGGTGGCAGAAGCCAATTCTGTGGGGCAGGGTCAGTGCCCTTGGCTGCCTCTTCAGAGGTGGAGTGGCCTGTCAGCTCGGCAGGGACCCCAGGGATTCCTGGTGCCAGCCCCTCTTGCTCTGTGCCCCACACCTGCCGAGAATGCAACTGGGTTTGCGCCAGGACTGAGCTCAGGGCTGAGGAGAGCTCAGGTGCTCAGGAGTCACACCAGCTTCTGCCCTCGTCCAGGGGTCCAGCAGCCCCGTGGATATCCCTGGACGGCTCCTGGGCTGCAGTGTCCTCCTCCTCYTCGTCCTCCCCATCATGAACTTGCCCTGCTGCCTCTCGCCCTCCCTCCTGTCCTCAGGACGACCATACTCACTGCCCTAATGGGGCACTTCAGTGTGAAAGGGCCACAATGTGGGTTGGACCTGGCCAGGCAAGGCAGGACTTGTGGGCCACCCTGTCCTGTCACTTTATGGAGACCCAGAGCAGAGGGTGTCGTTTTCCCAACACCCCCATGGCCACGGGGAACAGGTGCACCTGATGCTAACCCCATCTCTACCACGGGRGGCCTCGGGCCTGACCAACATCTGTCCTGCCCTCCCCTCCCCCAAATAGGGGTTTACTTCATGTCCAGAAGCACCCGGGGATCGAAGACGAGGGAGGACGTAAAGGACTCCTGAGGAAGGGAAAAGGTGACAGCCTGGGACCTGCCAGATGGTGCTCAGATGCCACTCTGTCCCCTGGACAGTGTGGCCTCCAGCAAGATGCTTCTCTGAGCCTCATGTCCCCAGCTGCAGTGGGGACCACAGCGTGACCCCTGCTGCAGGGTGCTGCAAGGAACATGGGATCAGCAGTGACCTTGTGACCGGGAGGCAGGCGGGAGGCAGGCGGGATGCAGGCGAGGCGTGAGGAGGGCCTGTGGCCATGCAAAGAGCAGGCTCCATCTGGTTTGTTTATTCGATAGAGGCCCAGGCCAGCCCTGCTCCAGGAATGGCTGAGCTGGGGACAAATAAATAAAGGCCACCGAGGTGTGGGGGGTGGAGGGGCCAGTGGAGGGGGTGGGGGGTGGGGCCAGCAGAGGGTGTGCAGGACTCGCCTGCTCCCAGCAGGCGTGGCAGGTCCTGGGTTGGATGCCACTTGCAGCCCCTTGTCCTTCTGCCCTCTCCTTCCTAAGTAAGGTCCAGAGGCCTCGCTCTCCCCGGCTGGGGAGGTGAGGGAGGGTGGGCCGGTGTCCAGGGCTGGGCCTCAGCCTGGCACCTTTCCTGGGCAGGAGCCGGGTTTGCTGTGCGAGGACAGAGGAGCAGGGAGGCAGGCGCCCGAGCCAGCAGGCTTTATGCGCCACCACGTGCACCACTGCCCAGCCCCGCTCCCGCTGCAGTCTGCCCACTGCCCTTCCCCCCTGATCTGCACCCTGGGTGCTCAGGAGTCACACCAGCTTCCGCCCTTRTCCAGGGGTCCAGCAGCTCCGCGGATATCCCTGGACGGCTCCCGGGCTGCAGTGTCCTCTTCCTCCTCCTCCTCGTCCTCCCCGTCAGTGAACTCGCCCTGGCTGAGGCCATAGGCCAGTGTGGTATGTGCCAGGTCCACCTCGATGGGGAAGACGTCTGCGTCCCGCAGCACGGAGTAGCAGTCGTTGTAGTACTTGGACATGGTGGACACGAAGCGCTGCAGCTGGAACACGATGTCCTGGACTGGGGCAGGAGGGCGGGGGACAGGCCCGGTGGCTGTGTGCTTCGTGGAGACCCGTGAGCCTGCCCCGCCACCTCCTTCCCCTGGGCACTCAGCTGGCCCCTCAGGCCCTGGGAAGGGGCAGAGGTGAGCACTGGGCAGCCCGGGCGGCGGCCTCCCAGAGGACCCGGTGTCTTGGCCCCCAGTTGAGAGAGCAGAGGCTGCAGGGCATGGGGAAGGGGGGGTGGGCTGCTGCCAGGGCCTGGCCCTGGGGCTCACTTAGGCACTTGACCTCTCTGGGCCTGGGATTTCCCATCTCTAAAATGGGGAGAGGCAGGCCGCCACCCTGTACAAGGGCTGTGAGAGAACAGCCCACCTCGGCCACGCGCCTCTGTGCCCCTACCGTGCTTCTGATCCAGCAGCTCCATCTTCTCTAGCACGTCCTTGCGCATCTGGGAGAAGCGGGCGCGGGCCTCCTGGCGGCAGCGCAGGATCAGGCGATACTCGTAGTTGCCGGTGCTCACTCGGTACAGGGGCTCCCCTAGGGCCTGGGGCGGGGAGCACGTTAGGGATCCTGGGTGMAGTGGGGCCTGCTGGGTCGGGGGTGGGGCGGGAGGGCTGCAGGGCTGACCCCCCAGCTCAGCCCCACAACACAAGGCACTTTTCAGAGCCACCAGTCCCTTGTTTGAGATGCCAGCACTCATTAGAAGCACATGGCAATAGCTTTGGAGGGAGAAAAATCCAGAAAAGACCCAAACTCGTCACATTAAACGAATGAAGACGGGTCCTAAGATTGACCCCAACAGCAAAGATATTGAATTGAGTAAATTAAAGTGCCACTCAGGAGTGAGGCTGGACAGCCTCCCTGCAGGGGCCTCACCAGCTTGGAGGTTGTGGGCGAGGAGCAGGCCTGAGGAGTGGCCCCATGGCAAGCTGGCCAGCACTCCAAGGCCCAGAGGGACTTCGCTCCAGGAACAAGAGTCTGACCAAGCCCCCAGGACTTTCCTGGGATGGCCTGACCCACCTGATGCCCCTGGCAGATCCAGGACATTCTGGGGGCTCTGAGGCAGGTGGGAGAAGGTACGTGCGCCCCAAGCCTTTCCAATACAAGGGCTGGGCCCCCTCACCCCTCGATACTCACGATGCAGCTGTATTCCTCGTCGTCCATTTCCTTCACCTTCAGGCAGTACGACTGCGTGGGACAGGTGAGGCCAAGCAGTCAAGAGGCTGCAGCCTCCTGGACATCCGCCCCAACATTCCCAGCTCCGCCCATGTCACACCATGCCCCCAGGTGACCCAGGAGGCTGGCCCAGCCAAAGAACTGCAGTATGCCAGGCCTCCTGGCTCCTGCAGACCCCCGCTGGAATCAGCTGCGACCCATATGGGAGAGGCTGGTGGCAGGTGTGTAGGAGGCCTGGGGAGGCTAAAAGAGGCTGGGCAAGGGCTCTCTTTGGAAGGGAGGGCAGGCCTAAGGGCTTGGGTGGCTCAGAGTTGACCCAATTCAGGTCCCAAGGGACGCGCTGGGGGCTGGAAGCATGGTTCAGTGGTATAGCACCTGCTGAGCACCTKCAAGGCTCTGGGTAACAGTCCCAGGAATGAAGGGGAAAAATGGTTCCCTCCAGAGATGGCACACAGGCCCAGTCTGGCTCTGGGAAGTCCCACAAACGGAGCGTGGCTTCCCAACTCTTGACCACAGAATTATTACCTAAAACCAACATTCCTCGGCACCAATTGAAACTACCTAGACCTAGGACTGTTATGGTTTGGATGTGAAAAGCCCCCTAAAAGCTCATGTGTGAGACAATGCAAGACGGTGGGTTGAGAGGCCTTAACCCAATCAGTGAATCCATCCCCTGATGGGATTAACTGAGAGGTGGAGGAGAGCAGGTAGRTGTGGCTGGAGGAGGGGACACTGGGGACKCGGCTTTGGGGCAGACACTTTGGATCTGGCTAGTGGAGCCTCCCTCTGCTTCCTGATCACCCCCCTCAACCAAGCTCTTCCACCACAGGGTCCTGCCTCACTGTAAGCCCAGAGGAATGGCGCCTGCTGTCTACGGTCCAAGATCTCTGAAACCGTGAGCCCTAAAATAAACCTTTCCTCCTCTGAAATTGTTCTGGCTGGGTCTTTTAGTCGCAGTGGCAAAAAAGCTGACTAAAACACTCACTCACTGTTAAAATATGATTAAAAAAAATTAAAAAGTCCCCCAGGGTCAGAGTGACGCGACCAGAGCTGGAGCCCCAGGCCCAATGAGGTGCCTCTGCAGGGCCGGCAGGCCTGCGCTGCTCCCGGATCTCCAGAGATTCTGGAATTTCYGTGTCCCAGTCAGATGTGATGGGGCTGTGCGTAGCTGGATGACACAAGGCAGGGCAGGCCTCCAGCGGGGCTCACCTGCAGGCTACTCACCAGGTACTCGAACTTCACGTCCAGGTACTTCCTGATGGTGAGGCGAGTGTCCGGGATGGCCTTGTTGAGGTACGTGTTCAGGTCTGTCAGCATCTGGGGGTGGGGGGGACGTGCTTAGGCCTTCCCTGATTCAGGTGACACAGCCCACAGGCACTGCCCAATGGCCTTTCCCATCTCAAGGTTAGGACCAAGTCTAGGCCATGATGAGCTGTGATCTGGTACAAGGCTGACCAGCCTCCAGGTCCCCACAGGCCTGAGCAGTGCAGCAGCCTGCTGAGGGCAGTCCCGTAGGTGACCAGGCAGGACCCACACCCCAGCCCCTGGCTGCCGTGGAAGAGCCCTGCAYGCCACGCTGTCCCCTCCTGGCCTCACACACTGGACATACCGGCTTGATGGTCTTCAGCAGCCGAACACCAAACTTCTCCATACTGCGGTGGGCGTCGGCGAACTTCACAAAAGCCTCGCTTGCTGCCGGCTGGGGCTCCCGCACCCCGATCACGGAGAACACGTCCCCAAAGGCTGCATGACAAGCATGACTTGAAGGCTGCCCCCACCTGACCCCCTGATGGAAAGCCAGGGCATCACCAGGGGGCTGGCATGCTGGAAGACAAGTCCACGTGGGGTCTGCGCCCCAGGAGGGCATCTGCATCTCCAAGCAACGGCTCTGGAGCAACTGGGAGCACACAAACTGGGGAGCCGGGCTGCGCGCCCCAATGGCGGGACCAGGGGAGAGCTAAGCCAGACTGAGGTGGTGGCGCTGAGGGCACAGCACTGGCCTGGGAATCTGGGTTCTGATGTCAGGACCACCCAGTGGCCATTTCCTGCCTGGGCTTCACTTCCCCGCCTATAAATGGGGCTCACCGTGGATGTCCYGCACAGTCTCACGGCCTTGTAAGAAATGGGACCACAAACGAAAGGAACGCATGCATTCAAGCCGCAACGCAACGTAAGGAGTAGGGTGGGCCCTCAGGAGGCCAGCGGCCCAGAGCTTCCACTGGCCCCTCCCTGCCACCGCAGCTGGAGGCTGAGCTGTTTCTCCCCAGCATGGGTACAAGGCCCCGGGAGGAAGCTGGCCAYTTTCTCACTGTTAGGGTCACTGAGCCCAGAGAGAGGCAGGGACTTGCCCGGGCCATGCAGCAGGCTTGGGGAGGCCATTACCCCGGTGGGTCTGTGAGAGTTCATAAAAAGCCCGAAGGAGATTCTTCGTGTGTTCCGTCATCCCTGGGGAGAGACCCAAATGATGAGGATGGGGGCACATGTCACAGGCCACACAGGCCAGGGCACAGCCCCACCCCCCACCCCATTCAGGCCTTCACTGGTACTGGAGCCACTGGGTCTTCCCACAGCCCCACCAAGAGGCCCCTCATTCAGGGGACTGGGACTTTGTGTGACGCAGGACGACACGGCCTCTCAGGGGCTGCACCTTCGGGAGCACAGGGATTCTGGGGACTCGTAAGTTTAGAGGTCCTAGAATTTCTCAGGTTGGCCTCCCTGCCTCCAAGGCCACTCTCTCTGGACAGGTTCCTAGGCAGAGCCAGGGCTGGGCGCTTCCTATCCAAAGCCCCACGCACCTTTATAAAGCTCAGCCGTCCGCTCCAGCTCCTCCAGCCTCTTCACCAGCCCATCTGTGGGGTTCAGAGAACAGCTGAGGTCAGGTCAGAGGTGAGGAGAGTGGCCTGAGGAGGCCAGGGCAGGGGTGGGGACAAGGGGCGGGCCCAAAAAACTGGCTTCTACACAAGATGGGGGCCCAGGCACCCCAGGGTCGGCAGTTCAAGAGTGATCTGTAAATGGCCTCGGCACCCAAATGAGAGGCGAGCAGGGGACTTGCTCCTGGGACGAGTCCCCACTCGACCCACTGGGGCCAACCCAGGGGCACAGGTCCTTCCAAAGGTCTTCAGTGCAAAAACACTGGGCCCTCAAGATGAAGCCGGTGAGCAGCTCCCTGTGCTGTAGGAGGCAGGCTCTTGGTGAGCAGCCAGGCCCCTGGCCCTGTTGACACAGCCCAGCCAGGCAGGGGACAGGCAGGGAGATCTCAACTGTTTCCCAGGCAGGCTGGGAGCAGTTGCTGCCATGGCAAAGCACGAGGCGGCTGGCAGGTCAGACAGGAGGGAGAGAAGCAGGGTCTGGGAAGGGCTGGCACTGGGTGAAGGACTTGGTGGCCCAGGCACCTTCACTGGGTGAAGGACTTGGTGGCTCGGCAGGCATCGGCCACGCACCAGCCATGTGCTGCCACCGTGTCAGGCCCAGGGAATGACTAGGGTGAACATGATCCAAGACCTGCTCTAGGCTCCAAGAGCAGAGGCACAGGGAGAAGTGGGGGCCCGCAGCCTCACATCAGGGCCACCAAATGGGAGGACGCAGATGACCAGGGATGGGCGGGATTCCAGACTGGGGGGGGCAGTACAGGGAGCACATAAGGCCAGCCAAGGGCCAGCCTGAGGAGGAGCCAGGACTCCTCCAGCCAACAACTGCCACCCTTCCCAGGGCTCCCAGCAATCCCAGATAGGTCTCCACCCGGTGAGGACACAGGGCACACACGCCTCTCCATGGGGAGCAACCGTAAGGGACGAGCCTGTGCTGGGGGCTTCTTTATGCAGCCACCTCTCAGGGTAGGGCCTGGCCTGTAACAGCAATTGTACCCACAGCATAGACCTCTGGGCACCAGGCCTGCTGGAGGCTCCCCGGGCAGGTCTCAGTCCTCCTTAGTTTGAGCTGCTGGGACAGGAACTACTTCCCCCATTCAACTGAGAAAACCAAGGGACAGAGAGGTAAAGCAATTTGTCCCAAGTCACACAGCTGAGAAGGTGTAAATCGGGGTCTTCTTGCTCCCTAGTGTCCTGTACTGACCAGGGTTAGGGTCTTCAGAGCAGGAAGAGGAGGGGGGAAGGTGGCTGGGGAGTGGGCTGCTGGGGAGGAAGGGTACCCTAGAGGTCTTTGGGAGGCCCTGGCTCCCTGGGCCTGAGCACGTGGCCGGCAGGAGAGGAGCCGTGCAAGCACCCACTGTTGTTTGTGCTGGGTCATGGGACATGGCAGCTTTGATTTTAGAAACACTATTTATGGCTAGGGAAATTGCAAGGTTTAGGGGGAAAACACAACAACCAGTTCTAATTTCATCTCAACGCACRGTCGCTACGGGAACAGGATTTATAGGCACCAAGAGGCCAAAAATAGCAGCCACCACTTTTGTACCCCATTTGGAACAGRCTCAGGCCCCACCCCCACGGCCACAGCCAACAAAGCCCAGCATGCCCAGCTGAGCCTACAGTTCCCAGGTCTCTCTCCCCGGCCATGGCATGGCGGTGCTATTTATGAGCCCGGCTGGCGATGGAGGGAGCGGCCGCTGTCTCTCTGGCCTCCCCAGGACAGAAGGCGTGTGTGTGCCCATGTGTGTACACACCAGCATGTGGCTGCTCCCCGCCCGGATGGCCACCTCCAGGGACAGGGACCAGAGACAAGGGTAGCAGCGCCACCTCCTGGGGAAGGGAGGGGCCGATGAGGGCAGCGGGAACCAGGATGCAGATGGGGAGGCGGCTCTCAGGCTGGCCCTGGCTCTCGGCCCCCAGCCTGGGGAGGTGGAGGAGGCACCTGCCCTGAGTCTGTCTCCTCCTCTGTGATCTGAGGGGCCCTGGTGGTGAGGGTGGCCCAGGTGACAGCTGTGGGAGCTCTCTGGGAACCAGAAAGGCCTCCAGGGACACAAAGAGATGGTGGCTATCAGCCCCTCAGGCAGAGGCAGGGCCCGGCCAGCAGGACCCACACCAGCCTGGCAGGCAGCCATGGTGCCCCAGCCCACGGGCCTGAGTGAGAGACCTTGCGCCAGAGCTGGGTGGGACAAGGGGACTCACCATTGCACAGGATGGCCCGGCTCAGGCCCAGGGCATCAGCCGTCCCCGAACTCATGTTCTCCACCAGCCGGTGCTTGACCTTCTTCAACACTGGGGCCAGGAGAGGAAGGACCCAGTGAGTTGCTACTGAGCCCCAGGCCATCCCTGTCCTGGGTCCCCTCACAACTGGCTGAGAGCTGGACTGGGGCTCGGGCTGGGAGTCTAGGAAGCAGCAGTGTCCGGGGGAAGGGCCTGCACTCTTCACCCCCCACTTCGGGGGGCTGGCAGGCTGGGGGAGGTAAACGTGGGGTGTGCGGCCCAGGGTCCGCCTCACGCCAGCTGCTGGCATCACTGAGGGCCCAGATGGCCCAGGCTCAACAACAGCCACCAGGCCAGTCAGGAGCCCATCCCTCGCCCTCTTCGCTTTTCATCAGGACTTAGAGTGGCCCCTACGAGGGAAAGGGGAAGGGTCAGTGTCTGTGCTGGTTACATTAACGTTGTGGGTGCCATAGGGACCACTGGCCTCAGGCTCAGACTCAGTGATGGCTTCTGACCAGCTCAGTCCCTGGAGGGATCCTGGGACAGAACCCAGGAGTGCTAAGAAGGAAGCTCCAGGCTGACTTGATTTGCCCTTTGCCTTTTGCCCTGACCCAGGAGGTGGCTCTGGACCTAGGGCATGGGTTGGATGTAGGTTCACCTGGATGTGCGCTCATGAAGGGGTCACTGAGCCTCCTCTGGGACTTGGCCTTTGTTCCCTAATGTGTGTGTGTGTGTGTGTGTGGGGGCTGGTCCAGAAGACTTTGAAGCTGTTGTCCCACTGGTCCTTTATTTCATTTTGTGCCAGGAATCTAACCCGGGGCACTTTACCACTAGCCACATCCCCAGCACTTTTTTACTAAGTTGCTGAGGCTAGCCTCAAACTTGCAATCCTCCTGCTTCAGCCTTCTGAGGCACTGGGATTCCAGAGTGTGCCACGACGCCTGGCCCCTCTTATTCTTAAAGCTTCTACAGAACCAAAGCCCAGCCCCTCTGGCAGGAGGTACCCTGTCCCAGAGCAAGCTGTGGGAGAAGGGCTGGCCTATGACCTTCTACCCAGTGGTTAAGGTCTGTTCTAACCTTGCATCTTCCTGGGAGCAGAAGACAGGGAGGAGGTCAGGGAGGAGGGGTGGGCAGGTGGGCAGGTGGGCACGAGGCACTGGCCAAGGCTGGCTGCCTCCCTTTCTGGACTGCAGTAAATCCAAGCGGCCCACAGAGGACAACCCTAAGACAGCAAGCTCTCAGCAGGGGTAGCTAGGGGACAGGGTAAAACTGGGCAGTGAGAAACGGGGACAGGTCAGCCACAGGGAGAGTACCCCAGGTCCTGGCAGGCCTTTCAGACTGTCAGAGACCACAGCCACAGAGCTACTGATGACTTCATAAGGAGGATGGGAGCTCCTCTGTGTAGGGCTAGGGTTGGTGGGCAATGGCGCCGCTGCTCTGGCCAGCTTACCAATGTCCAGGGACATGCCCTGCTTGGGGTCCGCCTGCAGCTTGTTGTAGTGGATGGTCACCTCCCCCTGCAAAAGCAGCACAGGCAGCATGTGACAAGGCTCTTGAGTCCCAGGCCCCTCCCTGAAGCCTTTTTTATTTGTGCCTAGTGCTAGGACACCTAGGAGAAGGGGCCAGGGACAGCCAAGCCCTGGGGCCCTGTCCATCAGGGGAGGTCAAAGAGAATCAGGGAGTCACAAGAGTTGTGTTCCAGTGCTGAGAGGGGAGGGCTTCTCCGCAGAGCTTGGACTCCTCCASGAAGCCCTCCCTGACCACAGCCAAGGGGCCACTCGTCGTTACAATCCTAAGGCACCTGGACTTGGGACTAAATCCACCCGAATATAAAACAGAATTTAGAACTCCGTCCCCAGTGGGAATGGAAATGAGCCAGCACAGCTGGAATCAGGAGCGGGTGAAACTGCGCCCTTAGGAGGCTGCAGAACGCTCTGCAGAACCAGCCCACGGAGCAGCTGGGGTAAAGGAGGCTGCCRTGGGGGGAGGCCGGGCCCAGGACCGGTTCACGCAGTTGAGCCAGTTTAGCAGGTCACTTCCTCCTCTGGACACCAGTGAAGTGTGGGGAAGTGACTCCTGCCTGGCACTCAAACTTGGGAGTTGGGGGAACCATGTTCAGGCCAAGGCTGCGTAGGAACAGGAGGAGCCCCGTCCTCACAGCAGCACGAGGGGCTGGGGAGACAGGCCTGCGAGGACAGGGTCCACGAACCCAGAGCGAGGAGCCGGAGGAAGGGGCTGCTGGAGGGGCACATGGCTCCCACACCGGGTATGCATGGAAGGCCGCCTGTCACCTGTGGCCATCAGGTAACGCCTGTGACACAGCCATGCAGTGGTGGCTATGGGCTCAGTGAACCTGGCCGCTGCCTTTAGCACCTGGAGCCCTGAGACCCAGTCCCTGGCTTGTTCCTTGGCTGAAGGGGTGCTAGGAGGCGGCCTCGCAGAACTGGAAGCCTGTCCCTGAGGTAGGAAGGCACATGGGGATGAGTTGGCCGCACAGGGCCTTGGGGGAGAAGCCACAGAAGGGGCTTCCGGGTAGAGCCAGAAAAGGACGTGGGGAGGTGGGAGCAGCCCTGATCCCAGCGGGGGGTGGGAGTGCTGGGCCTGGGGCAGGCGGCAGCTAAACCACTGAGCCAGCCTCTTCCACGCTGGGCTGCGCCTGCCCCCAGGGCCTGCCAATCACCCTGCTCCCTGCCTCACGCTGCTTCCTTCACTGTACCAGTTTCCCAAGAGCCACCAACAGCCAGATGTCTAGGAAGTGGCAGAAGGGCCTGGGGCTCACTTCCAAAGTGGCCAGGCTGCTGCCTGCCGCGCAGGGAGGAGGTCCCTGTAGAGACCAATATGGCCCCGCTAACATTAGTAGGATCTACTATCCAGGGAGGGTCCCCTTGGGCTTTCAGCTTCTGCTCCAGCCCTGACCAGGGACACCATGGTTTGCCCAAGTGCGTCAGAACCCCCAAGAGTGGCGCCCCACAGATGCCTTGTGGTCCTGGGGCTCTTTCACCAGGCCCAGCACAAGCACAAYATTAGTATTTACTGAAGAAAGGAGGGAGAAACGGAGGGAGACCCGGGTGTACCCCTGACACTGTGATACTAGGAGGGGAGCGGCGCCCCCCCTGCAGTCTGCACAGAGGGCTCAGAAGCAGATCTGGCGGCTCCAGGCCCCACCGCAGCCGCCTTACCTTCACCTCCTGAATCATCTTAGCCACCTCCACCTTGGTTTTCCCCTTGATTGACCTGCCATTGACGCCGGTGATCTCATCGCCAGCTGCCACCGTGCCATCGAGGGCCGCAGGTGTGTTGTCGAATACCTGAAGATGGGGGGGGGACACAACGGACTGAGGTGAAGCTGGGAGACGGTCATTCCCTCCACCCACACTGCCTGGTTYGGTCTCCAGCTCTGCCCTGTGGCTTCTTGTGTAAAGCAAGCAAGGGGGGGATGACCCCATGTTCCTGAAGAAGGACAGGACGTAAATCTGAACCAATGAGACAYTCTTTTTCTAATAGCAAATACACCAACCGTCACACATCCATGTGACATTGATCCTCCAATGTCACCTCTTGACAGGTTTTACCAACAGTGCTGCTCCAAGCTGACTCAGCATCCCAAAGCGCCTCTTATCAATTCTACACCTCACTTTGGTCCCCAAAGAACAGTCCATGTCTGTCATGAACAGGGGCCCAAATGCCTGTGAGCCCCTAATCCCAAGTGACCCCTTCAACAGGATCCAAGCCCACTGGCTGAGTGAGGCTGTGTGTCTGCTGCTGAAGATCAGAACTACAAGTGACACAGCAGGGAGAGTCGGCCACCTGGTGTACAGCAGACTGTACCCAAGAAGCCACCAGGAGAGAGGCCCGCATCATCAGTAGTGGTTCTGATGTTGTATTCCTTCTGCCCTACCTGCAATTTCTAAATTTTCTACAAAAAGAAAAAGAATGCTTCACAACTTATTTATAATATTACAAGGAAAAATGAGATAATTAAGATGAACATTTCTGCTGCATCCCAGAATCACATTGAAAACAACAGTGAAAGACAGGTACGACAAATACGACGAAACACTGCTCAAAGTAATAAAGACAAGTAATCGGAAGTGCATCCCACATTCACGGCTGGGCAGCCCGAGCATCCCTCAGATGACACCATCACCCTAAGCAATCCGCAGAGTGGGTGCGAACACTGTCAAAATCCCAAAGAGATTTTTATTTTTTTTTTAAACAGAAATAGAAAAATCCACCCTAAAATCCACCTGGAATCTCAAGGGACTCGCAAAGGCTAAAACAATCTTGAAAAAGAAAAACAAAGCTGGGAGACCCAGAGTTCTTGATTTCCCAAGTTTCTACAAAGCTACAGTAATTAAAACAGAATAGTACAGGCATAAAGGCAGATGGACAGACCAAAGGAACAGAACAGAGAGCTCAGAAATACACCCTTGTGTATATGGTCAAATGATTTTTGACAGGAGCCAAGAACATTCAATGGGGAAAGGAAAGTCTTTCAACAGTGGGTGCCGAGGGAAAGGGGATCCACATGCAAAGAATGAAGCCTGTCCCTGGCCTAAAATGATCTGGATCAGCAACCTAGACGTAAGACTAAGACTGTAAAACTGAGAGGAAGGCAGAAGCTTCGGCCCAGGGATTTGGCAATGACTTCTTGAATATGACACCAAAGGCATGGGAAACAAAGAAAGAATACAAATGAACTTTGTGAAAAAAGWTTTTTGGTTGTAGATGGACACAATAACTTTATTTATTTATTTTTATGTGGTGCTGAGGATCAAACCCAGTGCCTCACACGTACTAAGCAAGTACTCCACTATTGAGCCACAACCCCAGTCCAAAGATTTTTAAAATCTGTGAATCAAAATCCACTATCAGCCAGGTGCAGTAGTGCATGCCTATAATCCCAGTGGCTTGGGAGGCTGAGGCAGGAGGATCTCAGGTTCAAAGCCAGACTCAGCAACAGTAAGGCACTAAGCAAGGCACTGAGATCCTGTCTCTAAATAAAATACAAAATAGGGATGGGGATGTGGCTCAGCAGTTGAGTGTCCCTGAGTTCAATCCCTGGTAAGGAAAAAAAAAAAAAAAAACACTATCAACAGAGTAAAAGTCAACCCACAGAATGGGAGAAAATGGCATTTGTTAAAGATATTAATATCCAAATATACAGAGAACTAACAACAAAGCCAACAACCCAACTCAAACATGGGCAAAGGACTGAACAGAGATTCTCCAAAGAGACATAAGTAGCCTGTAAATACAGCGGATGCTCAATCTCACTAATCACTGGTGAAATGAGAAGCAAGGCCACTAGGAATCACCACCTCACACCCATCAGGAGGCTGGTGCAGACCACAGAGAAAATAACACACGCTGCGAGGATGCGAGAAACGACCTTGCGCGCTGTTGGTGGGAATGAATAGCCACACAGGCCTGTGGAGGGAAGCACGGCGCGTCCTCAGAAAACCAAAAACAGAACGGCCCTCAGCCCAGCAATTCCGCTCCCAGGTGGACACCAGAAGAACTGAGAGCAGGATCTGGAGGAGAGCTCTGTGCAAGCTGGCTCAGAGCAGCCTGCCTCACAACAGCCACGAGGCGGAAGCAGCCCAGACGTCCACCAGGGGAGGACTGGCCAGGGAGCATGCAGTGGAACGTTCCTCAGCCTTTGAGGGCAAGGACATCCTGACACACACCATGCCACGGAGGAACCTAGAGGACATTACAGGAACAAAAAAACACCACCCATGATTTCACTTGCACGAGGGCCTGGAGCAGTCAGAACCAGAGGCAGAAAGTGGAATRGGGCTGCCAGGGACTGAGGGAGCGGGTTGGGGAGCTCGTGTTTAATGGGTGTGGAGTTTCAATGTCATGAGATGAAGGGCTCTGGACAGTGCCAATGGCTGCACCACACTATGAAGATATTTAATACCAGTGAACTGTGTAGTTAAAAATGGTTAGGATAGGGGCTGGTGTGGTGGCTCAGTGGCAGAGCACTTGCCTAGCATGTGCGAGGCACTGGGTTCGATTCTCAGCACCACATAAAAATAAATGAATAAAATAACGATCCATCAACATCTAAAAAAATATTTTTAAAAAATGGTTAAGATAGTCAAACATGGTGGCACATGCCTATACTCCCAGCAGCTCAGGAGGCTAAGGCAGGAGGATCACAAGTTCAAGGCCAGCCTCAATAACTCAGTGAGGCCCTCAGCAACTTATCGAGACCCTGTCTCAAGGATAAAAAATAAAAAGGGCTGGGGATGTGGTTAAACACTCCTGGGTTAAATCCCTGGTACCAAAAAAAAGAAAAAAAAAAAAAGAAAGAAAAAAGCTTACGATGGTAAAGTTTATGTATTATGTTATATACATTTACTACAATTAAAAAACTGCAAAATGGAAGAGAGAGCAGAGACCATGGAGGGCAGGATGTCCTCTATTAGTAACACAAAAACTCTCAGGAACAAGAGAGCAATGCTCTGAGGAAGCCGTCCCCTGGGGAGCCAGCCCAGACAACAAAGAAGGGCCAGCAGTGGTCCCCGTGACACCTCAGGACCCCAGGAGTTCCCAAGACCCTTGACAGAGCAATAACAGACACATTAGAAATAAAGGGTCTCCAAAGAGAAGGGCGATAGCTCGGAGGCCACAGGGAGGAGGCCACGCCATCAGACTTCTAGTCAAACAGGCTTCTGGCCTGACATTTATTCTTTTTTTAAAATATTTTTTTAAGTTACACGTTACACAATAACTTTATTTTGTTTATTAATTTTATGTGGTGCTGAGGGTAGAAACCAGTGCCTCATGTGTGCGAGGCAAGTGCTCTGCCACTGAGCCACAACCCTAGCCCCTGACATTTATTCTTTTTAAAATTACTTTATTTTTTATTTATATATGACAGCAGAATTAATTCTTATTACACATATAAAGCACATTTTTTCATATGTCTGGTTGTATACAAAGTATGTTCACACCAATTCACGTCTTCACACATGTACTTTGGATAATAACGTCCCTCACGTTCCACCATCATTTCTGACCCACGGCCCCTCCCTTCCCCTCCCACCCCTGTGCCCTATCTAGAGCCTGTCTATTCCTCCCACGCTCCCTCTCCCTACCCCACTATGAGTCAGCCTCCTTCTATCAGAGAAGACATTTGGCATTTGGCCATTTGGGATTGGCTAACTTCACTTAGCATTCTGACATTTATTCTTGAGTCTGATAAGCCAAATGTCAACTGAAAAGAATATGGAAGTGACAATGTCAAAAAAAGATGCGAGGGCATTCAAACACAAAGATCTCAAAGCTGATCTTCCACACAACCTCTCCCAGAAAGCTATAGGCCAGTCTCCACCCAGACAGGGACCCTGGAGAAGAGGATTCCAGAAAGAGGACAGGGAGGGAGAGGGCCCAGGGCGTGCGTGGTGGGGAGGGGGAGGGGGGGCGGGGACGAACACTGCAGGAGGGTGGGGAAGGTCTGAGTGGAAAGCGTACTGAGAAAAGCAGGAGACTATCATGAAGAAAAGGAAAGAGAGGCTGAGCTAAGAGGAGAAACAGGTTTCTTAAAAAGTTCAACACAGAGCCACAGGACGAAGGCTCGCGAAGCAGAGGGCTTGTCTTCTCCATTTCTTCAACCCCTGTAACTGCAACAGAGCATTCAGAAAAGATGTGCTGAGCAAAATACCTGTTGAACTTAGTGTCTTTGCCAAAAATGACAAGATGGCCATGTGGGGAGAATGGAGCGGGAGGGAGCAGAGTGCACCAGCGAAGGCCACCGACCTTCACAGGGGATACACGAAAAGCAACAGGACAAGCACCCTGAGACAAGTGTGGCCCTGTGTGAAGAAACAGCGACGGGGGTGGGGGGGGCCGTGAGCTGCGCCACACACAGGCCTTTCAGTGCTCTTGACTCGTCAGAGGCAAGTCAGATGGTACTTTGATAAAAACAAAATTGAATTTTAGAGAAGACATTCTAATAGTTTATAATCCCAGTTCATATTACAYAAACCCACCCACCAAGGCTCCAACAGATGGGGAGAGGGAGGTGACAGAGAGGCTGAACAGGCACATGGCAAGAAGACCAGGCCTGGAAGAGGCCTCTCTAGAGCCTCCTGGGTCAGAGGAGGCCAAGTTCACACCCTGGGCAGAGACATGACCAGAAGATCCTCCTAAAAGCCATGGTGCCCACGTCCCCCAATGGCTACTTGACCAGGAGGGCTGGAACAGCTACAAACCAGACCTTCCAAGGCAATAGAAAAGTCACTGACTAACTGCCACAAGGTAAGGAGACCTCCCAGCAGGATTGTCCCCACTCCTGTGTCACAGCTGATAGAAAATCATCAGGGCAGCTCCCTCAGCAGGGGCCACAAAGTTGTCCATTATCACGGGCAGAGCAGCTAAGGAAATGTGATGTGGCCAGGAGTTGCCAGCTGCTGCTCACGGAGGGCTTCTTCAGCACCATTATTGTCATTCTGTTCAATTTTTATAAGAATCCAAAGATGCTTATGCCTATGTATTTCAAATCCTCACTTTCTGGGAGAGGAAACAGGCCCAGAGAGGCTAAAGAACTTGCTAGTAATCAGGGAAGCTACTATTTCACAGCCTTCCCACTTCACTTGGGCTAGCACCCGAGGCTGACAGCTCTGCTGATTCATCAAAGACATTTTCACTGAATGTCCACTGCATGCCAGGCACTGAACCTGGCATCAACAATGGTGAAAAAGCAGACTGCAACCCTGCCCTCATAATGCCAAAAGCCTGGAAGGGCAGTCAGCTGTAGAACAGGTAGCAAGGGAATGATTATAGATGGCGACAAGTACCACGGGCAAAGAAGGGGTTCAAATGACAGAGAAAAACATGGGCAGCAGCTGGTCCGAAGGCCTTGCTGAGGTCAGATCTCAAAAATGAGAAGGAACCAGGTTCTTCAGAGCAAAAGGGTGAACCTGCCCCTGCCATACCCAGTAGGGAGATGACTCCCTCCATCCGGACCCTACCGCCACCTCCAAAGTGCCCGAGATACCTGGACAATGTACAGGCAGGGACAGTACTGGGCCCCTCCTCCGATGCTGATCCCGATCAGGTTCTGAGCATCCTTCTGCAGGGTCACCTTCCCAGGCACAGTAGGGATTCCACTAGAAAGAGAAGCAAATGAGGCTGAGCCTCCTGGAGGACGGAGCTGGAGGGGGAGGGCCCTCCAACAGCCCACGAGGCACCAAAGGCTGCGCAGCCTCTGGCAGCCTCTCCTCTTTCTTACTTGGCCAGAAACAGCAATTTGTGCTAGAACATATGCTGCCCCTGGAGTCGTGCAGAGGTGAAAAGAAACCCCAGCCCCGACACTGCTCTGCCATGGGACTTGGTAATCACCCTCTCTGCCTCTCAATTTCCTCATCCATAGAACGGGAATGACTCTCCCTTATCAGAGTTCCCACAGAATGGGCATGGAAGGCACCAGGGCCAACCCAGCAAGACTGTCCCCACTCCTGTGTCACAACTGATAGAAAATCACCACCTTCCTGTTCTTTCCTGACTTCAAACTTTCAAAAGATTTAGCCAGGCTGTCACCTTCAGAGAAACATGTAGAACATTATAACCACCTCTAGAGAGTCTTTCCCTGTTATTCAACTATTCTCCTGCCATCTCTCAATTCCTCTACTCAATTACCCCTCAGTATCACTATAAATTAGCAGCTATTTACATTCTATGGCAAAAAACGTAAATGTATTGACTTATTCATTCAAAAGACAATTGTTAACAAGCTATTAGTGTCCCAAACCTACTAAGTGTTTGAGAACACAGAAAGGCGTTAGACCCAGTCCTTGTTCTGAGACTATATTCTAATGAGCAGATAACTCTAATTTTGCAACTCTGACCTRCTAATTATCTATGCTGCAGCAAAACCTGGCTGCCTGGCTACCTCTGTGAAGCCTTCCCTGACCACCCAGCAGGCAGAGGCACTGCTCCACCTGCTCTGCTTTCCTTAGCACTGGCAGATGCTGTAGGTGTCYTGTGGCCTGCACAGTAGTCGTCTATTAACCTGTCCACAGGCCCCTGCGGAAGATGAGCTCCTGAAGGGTAGGGCCTGTTTCTGCTACGATACACCCGGCTCCCCCATTGAGAAGAACGGGCTTGTGGAGCTGGGAAGTTCAAGGAAATGGGTGTCACCTGAGCCCCGGAACTCCTAGGTCTTGTGGGGAACAAAGTACTCACAGTTTATCCTCCTCGATGTCATAATCCAAGTCTGCAAACATGGTTCCGAGAGTCGGGGTGGGCTGGCCAACGGCCCAGCTCGGCAGGGGAATGGGGAACTGGGTCAGGGAGAGAAAGGAGCACAGGGCTCAGGGGACCGGAGCGCCCGGAGGCCGGCCCCAGGCCCCCACACCCTATCAAGGACCCAGGGCCTCCCCAGCCTCGGGCAGGGGGCGCGGCGTGCGGGGTGGGCGGCGGCTCTTACTAGGTACAGGGAGGGACTCCAGGCCAGGGCGGTGGGCTCGGATCCCAGAGCCCGCCCCACGGGTCTCCAGGCCCTTGGGAGCTGCCTCTGTCGCTCACGGGAGAGTCGGTCCCACAGCAGGGCCGGGGCCGGGCTGACACCTGAACCCACCTGCCGTTCCACCTGGCGGCGGCCGCAACTGTCGCGTCACTTCCGGCGAGACGCGGAAGTCCCGCCTTCCCCCGGGTACGTGCCCCGGTGGCYGCCGGCCGCCCCTCGCTTCCCGCTCCCCGGCTCTCAGGACCGGGGCAGAGAAAAGCGCTGGAGGAAGCTCGCCTCTGTATGGAAAAGCGGAAACAACGGAGACGCCTTCACCGGCCGACAGCGCCGGGCCCCGCCCCTCGCGCGGGCGCCGCCATCACCGGGGGGCAGGTCCTCCCGGCTTCCTCCGCGGCACGCTGGGGACCACGCCGGCCCTGGCGGTTGCCGTGGCAACGGAAGCATCCCTGGTCCTGAGTTACCTCCGGCCGAGTTCAGTGGACCACACACTCGGAGACCTTGCCTTTCACGTTGTCACCGTGTCGTCCTAGGAAAAGCCCATGGACTTGTCGACTAGAGTGACGGTGCCAGAGACGGAAGGGCCCCTGGAGGTCCCAGCCTCAGCCAGTTTGGCAGACAAGGAAACGTAGTGCCAGAGAAAGGAAGTCATTTTTTCCAGAGCCACAAGGAGTTGGCCGCGAGACCCCTGCCGCCGTTGGCGCCTCGGTTTCCCCCGCCCTTCCCTTCCTCCTTTACCTCTGCGCACATCCCCAGCTCTTTTTATTTTTGAGACTAAGTTGCCCACGCTGGCCTCAAACTTGCCATCCTCCTGCCTCAGCCTCATGAGTAGCTGGATTACAAGCGTGTTCAGTGTGCCCAGGTGTCCAGTGCCCTTTGAACACTCACACTAAATCTGGATCCAGGAGAGGTATATTCACCTCTGATAAGGACTGATTGGACTTGCACTTTTTCTTTATGAGCCTCAGTTTCCCCATATACAAACTAATGGCATTGAGTAGATGTTTTCCGTGGTATTTGGTGAAAGATTCCTCATACCCCACTCCTTCCCTAAGTCCTGAGTACACTGAGGTGACCTTAGCCTCCACGTCTCTGAGACTCAACAAACGCCATCAATGTTTCCCAGTCGAGGAATCCGAATCTTCCCATTTGATATTATGTAAAACGGGTTCCCTGGAGGAGGTTGGCTCTCACAGGACCACCACTCTCTTGGTCACACATTCAGGCTGCATGGGGACCGGCTTATCCAGGGTCCTTCCCCAGCTGTCTCAGGGTCCATGAGGGAAGAGGATGCAGAGGGATGATTATCTACATATCCCCGGTCTGATGGAAGCCCTCCCACCCCTTCCGTAGAGAGCTGACCTGAGTTTGGGCAGGTATGCAGAGGGCTGCCATGGCAACAGCTCTCCCTGTGCCCACTGCTCTGGAGTTGAGATCACTTTCACAGGATTTTAAAGTTCACCACCACCCTGAGAGGAGAGCAAGCAGGGAGGCCGAGGCTCAGAAGCAGCTCCGCCTTTTTCTCATGCTCTGGGCAGAGCTGAGATCACCAAGCTAGGATCACCTGTTTTTAGGCCACAGTTTCAGTCTTGAAGAATGGCTGCCTCCAAGCCCAGGTGCTTTAATGTGGATCGTGGCTCTTCCACCCACTCAGCCCCAGCTCAAGCCCAAGCCCTGCCATTTTGTAGCAGATTTTGGGCAAGTCACAGCTAACTCTGAGCCTTGAATGGGAAAATGGTCCCTCCCACAGGTATTTGTGAAAGTCAAGATTAAAAGGAAAAACAGGTTTGAAGTGCTTTGTAAACAATTCACATGACACAGATGTTTCCAGAATCTCCAAACTCTCACCCTATTCTGTTCCCTCCCCCCTCCCCTCATTTCTGCCTTGTCTCCCACCGTCCCCCAGGCTCAGCTGCCATCCCTCTCTCTCAGCAGCCTCAAATCTGGTTCCTTTCCCTGAGCTCCTGAAGCAGTTATTATTTGGATCATTCTTTTGGCAACTTTGTCTTGTGAAATCCTTTGATGGTTTCCCTGAACCTCTTTTGAGGGGATTGACTTATTACATGCCATATTTTGTGGGGGGAGGATTTTTCTCCTTTAAAACTGGGGCTTATCGGGCTGAGGATGTGGCTCAGTAATAGAGCACATGTGAGGCCCTGGCTTCAATCCCTCAGTGTTGAAAAAATGAGAATAATTAAAATTCAGGCTTAGGGTTCATATCCTGAGAAATTGTAAAATACTTCTCCCAACTTTCTCCTTCCTGGGCTTCCTTCTCTACTGACTTTACCATCCTGGGATTCCTGTCTTCCATAGATGCTAGGAATCCATCAACAGACAAACAAGAAAAAGGAAACCAGATTTCTTTGTAATTAATACCATGACCCACTTTATTTATTTATTTTTGGTGACTGGCTTTCCTGGGTCAGCCCACCCAGCACAGGAACACGTTCTGGCCAATTGAGGAGGCCTGATTGGGACCACAATTTATCTGAGGGGTAAGAGCTTTCAAGTACCTTGCTTCATCAGCAAAGTAAATGCTTCTTGTCTTCCCAACTGGACAGAGACCCTGGCAGTGTTCCAGATTTTCTCTATGAAGCTGGAATCACCAGACTTAGGAAAGGCCCTGAATTTTGGATTTTGAGAAACAGTTTCCAGATCTGGAGACCTGCATGCAGACCATCGCCCACCCTCCCCAGGGGTCTGGTTTCAGGTCGGGATAGTGGGCAAGGTCACCCTTGAGCCTCAGGTTCCTGTGGAGCGATAGTCCTCCCCAGAGAGCAGCTACAAAGAAGAAGATAAAGGGGAAATGCTGCTCTGTGAGCGGTGAATGGCACGTGTCAGAGGTTTGCACTGTCGCTCTGAAGGGTAATTGTTTTGCCAACCACTTCAGAAGGCAGGGCCACTGGTGCCCGGGTCTTGGCATCAGACCCTTTCAGGAACCGTCCTAAATGTATTTTCCTGGGCTCCATCTCAGACCTGTGGACCTGAATCTCTGGGGAGAGGGAGACCCAGGAGTCTGCATTTTCTCAAAGCTCTAGGGGTGACATCCTGCCAAGAGCGGTCTGCACACCACTGTGTCGGAGGCCCAGGGCACACAGCGTTTCCACACCTGGGGTCGGGCTGTTTAGGGCACCAGCCATCCCTGTGGGGCCAGGTTGTTGTGTGGTCTAGAAGCGGAGCAGCTGCCAGGGCCGCAGGCCTGGCTCCCTGGAGGAAGGGCATCTGCAGTCCTGAAGGAGGTGCTGGWGCTGCCCAGGCAGAGGGAGGGCGGGTGCACAGGCTTCGGAGGCAGATGTGCAGGTACAAGGCACAGTCCCTGCCATCAGGGAGTCACAGTCTGTGGTGACGGTGACTGACAGGAGGCGGCTGCTCTGCCAGTCCTTTGGGAGGCTCAGGGTGAGCCCACCTCTGTCAGCATAGTGGTGAGGAAGGTCAGCCAGGGCCTCGGAAGGCAGTGCTGCTGCAGTTCCTTCCTCGAGGAAGCGAGGGGTTCTGGGAGTTGACCCAGGGGGAGGACAGCTACCCACTGCAGGGAGCTGAGCGGGGCTGGAGCTCCGAGCCTCTCTCCCAGCGTCTCTTCCTTCTCCCCATTGCCGCTCCTGTCTCTCCAGGAAGGCAGGTGATCTTTCACCCAGCCCAGCCCTGCCACTGAAAGCTGTGAGAAGGAGGTCAAGTTGCAACCCCTCTCTGGGCCTGGGTTTCCACCAGGACTCCATCCCTGTGACCCCCAACTCTTTCCCTGATGAAGTGCTGCCACCTGGTGGCTGTTAGGAGAAATAGCTCCTGGGAAACCAGAACCGCCACCATCCTCTCTGGTGCTGAGCCTGGAGACTGTAGTTTGAGGATGATGGATGAGGCTGGCGTCAACAGCTGGGCTATGCCTAACTACCGGCCCCTAGGTCATCACTGTTCCCCAGAACAAGGTCTGCAATCCTCACTGTCTGACCTGCCACCCAGCATCAAAGTCTTCTGTAAATAAAGGTCAAGAAACCCAGGGTGAACCGGGTGCGGTGGCCCACGCCTGTAATCCTAGCAGCTCGAGAGGCTGAGCGGGGCAGGAGGATCGAGAGTTCAAAGCCAGCCTCAGCAATGGCGAGGCACTAAGCAACTCTGTGAGACTTTGTCTCTAATAAACTCAAAATAGGGCTGGGGATGTGGCTCAGTGGTCGAGTGCCCCTGAGTTCAATCCCTGGTACCCCCCCCCAAAAAAAAAGAAACCAAGGGTGGACCATGAGGATTCAGTTCACCAGCTGCCCGGAGGTGAGAGCGCGGTTTCCAAGCCCAGGGGGAATAACAGCAGAACCAGCAGCCGGGCCTTGGAGCGCGGGCCATGGCTAGAGCCTCCCATCCACCTGGGGTCTGACTCCTTCACTCCTCCACGCACTGTCCAGTGGACACGTATTGAGCATCTACCATGTCCAGGTCATGAGGACACATCCGGGAGGGAGACTAGCTCACAGGACGGGCAGGCAAGGGCCCGTTAAACAAGGAAATGGGCCAATTTGGGCTGCCACTGGCCTCCAAACAGAACCAGACCCCGGAGGCATGTGCCTGGCGCTGGGGACCCTAGYGGGGGAGGGAGAGAGCTGTCAGAACGGCTCAGAGCCCATTGGCTACTTGGGCAGATTGAGGGGTCCAGAGGGGCCCACTGATAGAGGTGGGAGCACCGTCTCCATCCCCCCAGCTTGACTTAGTGTGGGAGAGGGGACAGCATGACAGGGCAGCTGGGCAGGAGAGGAAGAAGGGGACTTCCAGGTGGGCCAGTCTGGGGACAGTGGGTCTGCAGGCCAGATTTCCTAGGGGCAGGAAAGTGTCCCCCCGGGGGCCGGCTGGGGAGGGGACGAGGGCTGCTTGCTTCTTTCCCGAAGCCGTCCCTAGCTTCCCGGGGGAGCCGGGGTCTCACGGCCCTTGGTCACAGCACTGCCCTCTCCTCTCTCCTCATTAGCTGCCTCTGGTCGGCTGCCCTCACTAKAGGTGGACACGGGCCTCCGCGGGGCCCAAAGTCCCCCCGGCCACCCCCAGGAGGCTCCATTCCTAGCTCAGCTTGGCCTGTGGGCTGACCTCTGACCTGCCCCCCCGCACCCTGCCCTCTGGGTTAGGTCAGTGATGAAAGCTGCTGGGAGCCCAGGGGCTGAGGGGGCGAGGGACAGTGCCCGATTGTTCCCACCCCTCCTCGTCAGCAGCGGCCGGTCTGTGCTCCTACTCCCCCCACCGACCACCCTGTCTCTGCCAGGGGCRCTCAGACTCCCTGCCCCCACCCCACCCGAGACTGTG